TTAATTTCTGAAAAGTTTGCCAAAAAGGCTTTACCAGCATTTACCAAATGATTAATAACATTATCAATTATATGTGTTACTCTTTTACTTAATCACCTTACTTAATTTGATATGCTCTGTGTTGGAAAGTTTGAATACTATAGTTTCAAAATATAGGAAATTTGAAAGTATTTTATAAAAAATATATTATCAAAAATGAAATGTATTTGACTATATATCTGATATATAGTCAAATGTATTTAACTAGTATATATGAGGGGGACCCAAAAAACCTGGAATTTACTTATTAAAATATTGTGTATTTATTCTTACATATTTAAACTTAGTCACCTTCAGAATACTCTTGCTTTGATGCAATACACCTATTGAGAGACTTTTTCCACTGCCCAACTTGTCAACTTGACGACTTTTAGTTCTTCTGCCATTTTTTGCTTCACCTCTTTCACATCAGCAAAACATTTCCCTTTGAGGACTTTTTTTAATCTGGGGAAACAAAAAAAAAGAAGTAACTTGGGGCAAAGATCTGGTGAACGCAGGGGCAGGGGTGGGGGCACAGGGGGATCATGCTGTTTTTGGCCAAAAACTGCTGAACAGTCAGCATTATGTGGGCAAGTGTGCTCCTGAAAATGAGCAAACACATCAAAAGAATCTTCAAAAAAAATTCACTGAAGCAAAATGCAGCCTCTCACAACAATGTTAACTGGTACACTGAAACCGATAGGTTTCAAGAACACTTACCTAGTGGGGGAAGCCTGTACTACAAGGGGCTTGTCCTCCAAACAATAATTCTGGGTTTTGGGGGGTCCTACTTTGTATATGGTATATAATCAAATGCATTTAAATATATAAATATAAAGATATATATATATATCTTTAGAGAGAAAAAGAGAGAAAGAGACACACAGAAAGATACACACACACACACAGAGAGAGAGAGAGAGAGAGAGAGAGACAGAGGATCTCCATCACCCAAGTTGGAGTGCAGTGTTGTGGTCATAGCTCACAGTAGCCTCAACTTTTTGGGCTAAAGTGATCCTCCCACCTCAGCATCCCTAGTGGCTAATACCATAAGCATCAAGGTCTTGCTATCTTGCCCAGACTGGTCTTGAACTCCTGGCCTCAAGAGTTCCCCCAACTTGGCCTCCTAAATATATATATAAAGTCTAAAATATATATATATTTTATTTATATACATATATGTCTCTCTATATATTTTAGACTTGATACCACTGATTTAACTAATTGGTAAAATCAGTCCTCCATCAGCCAAATCATATCCATTTTTTTAATCACAAAAGACTGACAGCACTTTTCAGTTCAAGTAAATGTTTTAATGTACATCCCTGTGGCAACCATCACATTTCTGAATTCTAATCTAGGCTACAGAGCTAAAGGCACAGCGGCTTAATATGAGTTTTTTACCTGAATGAAACAAAGTGCTGACCCCTTAGTATTTCTTAGTCACACTTTCTTTCTTTAATTTCATGGAAAGCATCCTCAGGAAAATGTATTCTCAACTTGTTCCTTTGTTTGGAACTCAGAAGTTTTTACATTTTGAAGACATGTGAGAGATAGGTAAGAAGTATGTCTTGTTTTTATCTAAAGAAGAAGGACTTAATGAAAGAGAAACAGAAGGACAACTTCAGGCTGGCTCATTCTTGGGCAGATCAACTTCAGGAAAAAGTAAATGTGAAATTTAATAATCAGGATATAATTAATGTCCTTAAGTCTTTCTGTGCCCATGCACCACACCCCTCACCCCCCAGGAAAACATTTCTGTTTCCTCAGGGATGTGGGTATCCCAGCTTGAACAAGACTAATCTAGTTAAATCCATTCATTTCTCTTTTCTTTTCTTTTCTTTTTACTGTGAATATACTTTAGTCATTTTTAGTCAACTGAAACTCTGGGACTCAAAATTAACATCCTTGTCCGTGAGCTTCTTGTAGACACCAGAAAAAGTTTCTGTCTTGTGCTCCATGTTGTTCTGCTGTGCTTTGTCCAAGTGCACCTTGATGAACTGGCTGCCATCCAGCTTCATGCAGATTCTCTTGCCCACAATTTCACCTGGGAAGACCAATTCCTCAAGGATGGCATCATGCACAACTGTCAGATTACGGCTCTTGGGACGCTTTTGCTTATTTTTTATGTGGCTTTTTCAAGTCGACATAGGCAGAATTCTCCTCTGAGCAATAAAGACAGCATGCATCCTGCTGAACTTTTTCTCCAATTTGCATACTAGCCAGACTTGGATTTTTTTGGAAAGACTTCAGTTGAGGAACGGGAACAAAGATTATGATAGCTTTCCAACCACCACCAACTTCAATTTCCTTGGCCGCTGTTATGTTGAGCTCCCTGAGCTGAGCCTTGAGATCGGAGTTCATCTCCTGCCCCAGGAGAGCCTGGGAGATGCCAGACTCAAACTCATTTGCCTTCTTGCCGTTGGCTTCATGATCTTGGCCCTCGAGCTGAACATGGCTTTCTCCTTGCTGAGCACCGGTTTAGGAAGAGCCATTCATTTTTCAAATGGGTAGACAGAAGTAAAACTAGCCCAAGTTCACATAGATTTTGATTGAGCCTGAACTTCAATCAAAATCTCTTCATTCCCTGTGTGTTATTTCTACAGCACCTTTGTGTCTCTGCAGTATAGGTCTGTCCTAGTTCCTCAGAGCTCCCACTGTGCAACTCCCTCGAGCATGCTCACTTGTTTCCCACAAGACTCATGTTCTGTAGTCTGTTGCCCACACAAATTCCCCTCTGACCAAAATGAGTTCATTCTGTGTTAAAGTTGCCAGAACTGTGGACCTTGAACAACTATAGTAATAGTATAAGAAAAGGATTGACAGTGGCAGGAAACTATGGCGGGGGGCAGGGAGGGAACGGGAGATGGGATTAAAGGTAATCAATATCTGTCTGGGGACGGGGTGGGGGGGCACCCCTCATCAACAAGGATACCTACACAATGCATATTTGTATACCTAACCCTTAACTGTACCCCACAATTTTAAAATAAAAAATATGTAGGAAAAATAAAAAATAAAAAGTAAAGTTGCCAGAACTAGCAAATAAAAATACAGGATGATTAAATCTGAATGTAAAACAAATTATACTTTTTAGTTCTTTATATTGCATGGGATATACTTATACCAAAATTATAACTGGACATCCTCTATTATGTTTGGTAATACTGTTCATCTCTGTCTCTCCTTCTACCCCATCCCAGGAGGTCTGCTTTCTACTATGGGGTAATCTGATCAACTAGTCCTCAAGATGGGTTAACATGTTTTATCAGGGTAGAAGGTAAAGGGTAAGATTTTAAAACAAATTGTACTCTACATCTTTTTTTTATAATCAATATTTTTTATTATAATGTTGTGGGGTACAGTTAAGGGTTAGGTATACAATTACATTTCATTCAGGCACCCTGTTCATAAGAGGTGTTTCCCTGTCCCCAGACAGATATTTACTACCGTTAATCCCATCTCCTCCCCCCCCCATAGTTTCCCAGTACCGTCAGTCATTATCTTATAGTATTACATTGGATGTTCAAGGTCCATTATATGAGTGAGAACATGTGATACTTGGATCTTTGTTTCTGTAAGAGGTCACTCAGTATTATAGACTCTAGTTCCATCCAGGTTGCTGCAAAATTCATGATTTTGTTCTTTTTTATGGCTGTGTAGTATTCCATCGTGTATATGTACTACATTTTTTAAATCCAGTCCTCTTTTGAAGGACAGCATGGTTGACAAAAATTAACTCTAATACCCTACATCTTTAAAATGATTTTTAAAAAATTTTAAACCAAACGGGTGACTTGATATAAAAATTTAAAGCACCATAAGGCCTTTTGGCTAATCTTGCAGGGGAACTAAAGTATTGATATATACAGTCTCTGACTAGGCATCTGAAAAGCTAAAAAGGTAATTGGTATCATTTTTGGCATTCACTATATTATTGTTTATTGGCTAAAATACAATAAACGCTGACTATAAGTCAGTTACCATGCCTTTTAACAATAGTTCAGATAATTCTCATGTCTGTGAGGTAGATGTTATTATTATTTCCTTTCTGGCAGACAGTTGAGTGAGTTAAAGCGACTAAGCCAAGATCACACAGCCAGTAAGTGGTGGATTCAGGATGTGAACTCAGGTCGAACTCTGAACACTAAGTTTTTTGTCATTCCATACCACTTCATCAAATCTTCACACTATAACATCTTAATTCCCTTACAATAAAGTTACAGGTTGGATATATTACTCCTATTTTCCAGAGGAGAAAACGAGAACCCAATATGTGCTGTAGCTATAAGGGACTGAGCCAGGGCCAAAATCAGTATCACTATGTTGAGGGTTATAATTTCTACTACTGAAGAGTCCAGGCACTATTGTAAAATTTGGGGAAGATACAGGATTAGAATTCTGGAAAGAGGGGGGGATAATTTGCCACAAGACTCTACTTTTAGGTTGCCACATAGTATGACTTCAGGAGTTCTGGAAAAGGCTCACTCCAAGAGATCTCCATAGCTTTCTCAGTATTTGAAGTTTCACCAAAACAGATGCATATTTTGGTGTAAAGATTTTCTCTCTCTCTCTCTCTCTCTCTCTCT